GGAGCACTTACTATGGGCCAGGTTGCATGGTAAGTGCTTTACTTGGATTATTTCACTTAATCTTTACAATCCTGTCAGATTAAATCCTCAAAACCACTCGACCAAGGAAATAATATCATCATTTTTTCAGAAGGAGAAACTGAATCTTAGTGGTAACATGTGCTGGATGCCTTACATCAGTGGTCCCCAATCTTTTAGGCACCAGGGACCGGTGCCTCTATGAGAATCTAATGCCTGAGGTGGAGCTGAGGCGGTGATGCTAGCGCTGGGGAGCGGCTGCAAATACAGATGAAGCTTCATTCTCTTGCCTGCTGCTCACCTCCTGCTGTGTAGCCTGGCTCCTAACAGACCACAGACTGGTACTGGTCCACGGCCCGGGGGTTGGGGACCTCAACTCTAGGCCATGCCACAGCTTCTTGCCTGAGAGCCCCACCAAGCAGATGTCCAAGGTGCCAGGTGGCCTCCGTCCAGTGCTGATAAGCCAGCCACGTTCCTTACCACCTGGGCCCTGGAGTGAGGTCATGAGCAACACCTATTTCCATCTAATCTAAACTCCAACATGGGCACACCCAGCCTGCCTCCTGGGAGAATTTTTTTTTTTTTTAACGCCCATAGCACCTGGTCTTTTGGGTGGTCTCTCATTCAAGTGCTATCCAGGCCCGACCCTGCTTAGCTTCCGAGATCAGACGAGATCAGAGATTGGGTATGTTCGGGCTGGCGTGGCCATAGACCTGGGAGAATGTTTGAGTGGAGCTGCTATGCAAGACGTAGAGCTGGTCAGCTGTTTGTGACTCTTGTTCCTGGGCACTCAGAGTGCTGGGCTGTCTGCCCCTCGCACCAAACACACTAGCATACGGTTTATCCAGGTTAGCATTTGTTTCTATAGGTGACTTTTTTCTCGGAAAGGAAATAGGTATTTTTCTAAAGATCGATGTAATACGTGATTCTTGAAAAAAAAAATTTTTCCAGAATATGAAGGAGAAAGTTAAAATAACCCTTTATCCCAACACCCAGAGGTGCCCCGCCCCTCCCCCCCATCCACTGAGCAAGAGCAAAGCAGCTTCTGACAGCCAGGAGATGGCCCGGTGCTCAGAGCTGGGCTTTGGTCTTTTGCTGTTGAGCATAACCAGTTCCTCAGAACACCAACATCGGCCAAAGGCTCTGGGACTGTGAAGATCAAAACAAAAACAAAACCGTTCTGTAATAGTCTCCGAATGACAGAAACAAGAGCATTGTCCACACCACAAAAATAACCAAACATCCTGCTATCCTGGCTAATGGGTGACCATTGTTTTTGTTTGTATTTTTACCAATTATAGCCTTATTCCATTCACCTTGGTAGTAATTATTAAGAATTATCCAAACAAAAAATTGCCCCTGCTTGCTGGCAGTGTCCAATCCAGAGCAAAGCCCTGCTTGCTTGAACTATCCTCCAAAGTGCCAGCCAGAAGGCCAGACCTGACACGAGCCCCTTCCAGTATTCTACGATTGAGACGCCCTGCTTCGCCCATGCCGGGCACTCTCTCTCACTGCAACGAGCCGAGAAATCCAACTATGGACGTGTCCCCTATGGCTAAAGAGCATTGAAAACATAGATTTTGGAACAGATCTAACTAGACATTGCTTTTTCTATGCTTATAGATATATTTTTATTTTTTTTTAAAAAAGAGAAGACACTAAGATTCTATTTTATACCTTACTATTTGTTCAATAAATAATCTCTTAAGAAAATTATCATTTTAAACAGCTGCATCTCTTGCTGTATGATGTTGTGGACTTGCTAATAACACTTTGTAATTGTGTGATGCTGTCTCTTTAAGCTCTTTAGAGTCGGCTCCTCTGCTTTTTTGATATCCGCCATAGGCTGCTGGACGCCTCCAGAAAATCCTGAGTGGGACCACTTCCCTTCCAGGCTTCGGTGTGGGGAAGCCACTGGGTGAGGGCGGAGATACTACAGTTCTCCATGGGACAGGGCACGTCCTTTCAGGTGGGGCAGGAAAAGTGGGCACAGAGGCAGAGCCAGGAAGGAGGTTCCCGATCCAACCCGACTCCCAAAGGGTCACCCACCCAAAGACCGGAATGTGGAACACATTTGGCCCGCAGCTTTCGGAACAGCCGCGTCAGGAAGGGGATTCCATTGGGATAATTGTGTTCAAAAAGCATTTTGGCAGATTTATGTTTTATTGGAAGTTTCTCCAGGGAGGTGAAGCCAACAAAATTCTGAAACGGCAAAGTCAGTTCAGTTCTGTTGACTAAGTCAAGACAAGTCCCTTAAATCAATGCTGGGTAATGGGCCTTGTTCTAGCTCAGTTCTAGCTCTTCAAGCTTTGCTGAGCACTGAATTCACCTGGAGATTCCGTTGCCACAAAGTCTTGATTCCACAGGTGTGGGCAGGTCGGAGTCTGCCTTTCAAACAAGCTCTCAGGTGAGGCTAACAGGGCCCGAGTAGCCAGGCCCTCGCTGCCTGGCTAGGACTTAACCCTGACAGTCTCCAGTAAATCCACTCTCATTGCTTGTCTATGACACTGGAGAGTGTGACAATCACCAAATGACATCGTAGATCTCAATTCCCACCTCAGAGAAGTCTTGAGGAGTCAAGGGATGAAGCCACACTGAGTAAATGTCTTGCCCTCTGGCAGTTAAAACATGTGCAGCTTACTCGGGCATCGCGGGGCGGCAGAGAAAGGGAAGGCTCCCGCCTTCCTGTAGCAGAGTTAACTGGGAGCTTAAACAGACCTGTTCCCAAAAAGCCCCCTCTCAAGGAGAGAGTAACCCCAAGGCCAAGAGCCCCTGGACTGGCGCCCCTGCCCATCTCTGCGTATCCCCATATAAATGTTCATTATTTCAAATTGAGAGATGAAAACAAATAGGTTCTAACAAACTAACTTCATGACTGACAGCTTCATAAAGGGTGACGAAGAGGAGAAACCCAGCAAACTGGAGAGCAATCTCTGACCTGCTTGGGCCATTCTCTCTTCATCCTGTTGCTGGTGGACCTTGCTCGGATCCAGGGGGCATTTCTCACACCCTCCGACACCCCTCGCTGCATGCCACCACCTCCACCGCCGCCTCGGTTCACGTGTGACCCCTCACTGTCACTCGATAAGAGGTGCAGTCACAGGGGTTCTCTGAACAATGTCAGATGAATAGTTGTCACGCTTCTGGTCACTACATTTTGTATCAAGCAGTCCTGAGCTTCCATTTTCTTGTCCTAGAGCAGTGTGTTCAATATGGTAACCGCCAGCCACATGTGCCTTTTTAAGCTTAATTAAAATTAAGTAAATTTTAATTAATTTATTTATTTATTAGTATTTATGCCTACAGCACCTTCTCTTCCTAGGTGGTCTCCCATCCAAGTACTAAACAGGCCCGACCCTGCTTAGCTTCCAAGGTCAGACATCCAGCTTGTTCAGGGTGGCATGGACTGTGGCTCTACTGGGGCACGAACCCAGAACCTTCTGCGTGTAAAGCAGATGTGCTAACCACTACACTATGGAACCACGTCCTAAAATTAAGCAAATTTTCAAATTCAGCTAGTCAGTTGCACAAGCCACATTCTAAATGCTCAAGAGCCATGTGTGATTTGTGGCTACTGTATTGGATGGTGTAGATATAACATTTCCTTGCAGAAAGTTCTATGGAATGACACAATTTAGATGTATCTCACCCAAACGTAACAAAGCCAAAGAGATGTTTTGCGCATTTTAGGAAAAGGCACCCCTTCCTCAAGACACCGTACCGACCCCTGCAGGAAAAAATAGCAATAAATATTCGCATCCACAACCATGCTGTAAATGGCACACTGTTGAGCAGTGTGCAAGCTGCACCATCACGTGCAGCAGCCCTGATGAGAGTCCTCCACAGAGCCCTCGAGGTTGACTTCTCTCTGTCCGCCGCACTTCAGACCATGCCCCCTTATCTTTGCCTTTCTGGAAGGGAAGAGGGCATGCAGTTGGACCAACTGCAGCAAATGACCATAAACTGAGTGGCTTAAAACAACAGAAATGCATTCACTCACAGTTATGGGAGCCAGAAACCCAAAGCGGAGGTGCCCGCGGGACCGCATTCACTCCCAAGCCTCCCTTCCGTACCTCGTCCAGCTTCTGGGGGCTCCAGGCTTTCTTCGGGTTTCAGCTGCATAACTCCCAGCTCTGCTTCTGACCTCACATGACCCTCTCTCCTCTGGATCTGTACATTCTCCTTTGCTGCTCTTATAAGGACACTTGTCATTGATTTAAGACATACCTGGATAATCCAGAATAATCTCATGTTGGGATTCTTAATTACGTTTGCAAAGACCCTTTTCCAAAATAAGGTCACATTCACAGTTTGAGGGGCTGGGACATGGACATGCGGAGCCAGCAGTCAACCCACTAGAGTCTTGTTGTGTAAGTTTCCAGATTGCGGCCTCCACCCTGACACACTCAGTGGTCCCTTGCCTGACTGGTTTTCCTCTAAACCGAACTGTCTGGACCTAAAGCAGAAGCTCTCACTACCAGGAGGCTCTCCGTTGCTACAGGCAGGCGGTCTTTCATTCCAGTACAGCGGAGGCCAGCTTGCTCCTCCCCCTCTGAGAATCATCTGTAGGGGTCCCCACACATTTCTCAAACCTCAGGCACAGGTCCATTAGTCTGAAGCCTTCCAACCCACGCACATCACCCTCTAAGCATACTTCTGCTGAGCCAGCCTGCCAAGGCTTTGGACGGACAGTACATGAAAAAGACTGGGCTGGAGATGTGACAGGAAAGGGAAGGGGAGAGGCAGTAATCATTACAGCAATAACAACGATAGCTGCTAACACTTACATAGTTCCTACCGTGTGCCAGGTGCTATGTTAACTTTTTCGTGACTTACCATTATAATCCTCACAACAACTCTAGGCAGTAGATGCTCTTATCCCCACGCCAGAGGAAAGGGATCTGAGGCAGAGAGGGATTCAGTAATGTGCCCAAGTCTGATTATTTCAGAGCCAGGATTTGAACCAAGCAGAGTGGCTCTGAAATCTACACTGCAACCAGAAGACATTGTGTTGGCTGGATGTTTCTGGAGACTTGGAGGAGCTGCAAGGTGTGACAAAAGAAAGGCACTTCTGAGAAATGCGGGAGTCCTTCCTCAGCACAGGAGGTGCAGGGAGAGCTCCTTGTTCGCAGCTTTCCATTGAGGGACTGTGCCTCTCTGAACAGACGCCGAGCAAAGAGCCAGGCTGTGTGGAACCCGGCATCCGGCCTCCATCTCGCTCTGTGCTTCCCCGTCCAGCCCACACGCATGGATGAGCAGAGACAGGGATACATGTACGAGTGAAGTCTGCGGTTAGAAGACTTCACTCCCAGCTCTCCCTCCCCAAGCCTTTCCCAGTCCCGCCCCATGACCTCTCCCCACCACGCTCACCTGAAAGTTTCTTGTCACCTTACTGCTGTGAGGTGCTGAGGAGGAGGAACAGTGACCCGAGGTGGCTGGAGGGTCAGAGAACAAGAGAAATAGTCAAAGCCAAAAGAGGAAGATGAGGAAGGCGTGACCCCCTCTGTGTGAGAGATCCGAGGGCTAAGGGGGCAGGGACAACACCTAGCATCCCTTGGGGTGTGGGGAGGTGACATTATGGGGGCCTCTATCCCACAGCTTTACCAAACTTAACCGACCACGCAGGCCAGGTTTATGAGGTTGGTTTTCAGTCTGTAATTACCAAATGAGACCACCGCAGCCTGGCCCCACAGTGCTCGCTCAGCTCTGTGGGAGGAGGGCTGGAAGCCCAGGAGATGAGTTCTTGGCATGGACACAGAGAAGTACAGCTGTTTCCTTTCAGCATTATTTTCTAGTGGAAATTTCATAGTCATAAGCCAAGTCTTGGAGGTAGTGGCGGAGGCAGGAACCTGACAGAATAACCTCTGTTCTTCTAATATAGTAGAATAACAGAGTTGACAGTAGATATGTCCTCCTGGGCAGCAAAGACAACTAGAATGCGCCCAGGTTGTAGAGTCAGGGTGGTCTGGGTGGGATTTCTGACTTCGTTACTTACTGTGTGACCTGAGGAAAGCTCCATAACCTCTCTGAGCCTCAGTTTCACCTTCTGTTAAAACGGGACCAAAAGCACCTGGCAAAATTATCAAAGAGATGCTCTGCTCATAGGCTGTCCTTCATTTCTCTCTCAGCCCTCCCGTGCGAGCTCTGGTCCAACATTCGCGTTGAAACTCCCCTCCCTCTCCCCTTTTTGTTCACTGGAAAAGGACACAAGAACAGCTCCCAGGAAGCCCTGTGAGGAAGGCCCTGGGGAGGGGGGGGGCATCAGAGCCAGCACATCAGGGGGCCTTCAGGGACCTGGGTCTGCAGCTGCCAGGAGCCCTCAGGCCGGCAGGCTCCACTTGCCTCCAGTGATCTCCCCAGGGCTCCTGCGGAGCCGGTGCCTACCTTCCTCTTCCCAGGTGGCAGGCAAACAGTTGCCAGCTAATGCCCCTGGATTGGCACATCAGCCTTGCAGGAAAGGCCCGGGAGATATTCAATGACCTCAGCCCCGGAGAATGTGGGGGAATTCAGTGTGAGGCAGGGCTGACACAGCCAGGCCTGACGGGGAGGCCAGCGCAGGCTGGGGAGTTTACAGGATGGGCTGAGGCCTGGCGAAGTGTTATTATACCCCTTCGGTCAGGGTGACCCCTCGGGAGACGGGCCAGCATGCAGTGCACTCGTGGACGTTGCCACCCTGAGCCTGGCTTCTCCTGCGCTGGCAAGGGCCCGGAGAAACCTGAAATGTTTTCAGGTTGTTTTCAAGGCTTCCTTCTGCAGCTGCCGGGCTCCGCCCGTTCCCTCCGAGGAGGCGGAGTCCCAGAGGAGGCCGGGAGCCTTTTCCCAGGGCCCCACCACCGCAGCCCTGAAGCCCGAGGCCGGCCCGCCTGGAGTCCTGTCGTTCCCCATAGGCCTGCCGGCTCCTTTCCCAGAATTCGCTACTCTGCCTTTCCCTCCTGGCGTGGATATGAAGCCGCCCAAGGCTGCCAGACTGAGCAAATACGTGATAGCCAGTTAAATCTGAATTTCAGATGAACAACAAATAACTTTTCAGTATAGGTATGTCCCATGCGATATTTGGAACAAATTTATACTAACAAAATATTCGTCCTTTTTTCTAGGATTCAAATTTAACAGGCCATTTTGCATTTTATCTGGCAACCCTGGCCTCACCTCATTCTTTAAATTCTAAGAATGTCTCTACTTCTTATCTGTGGGGAAACACTCCACAGATATTAGGGCACAGGCAAGGCATTAGTGTTTTTCATGTTGTTGCAAATATTAATCTGGTTTTAAAACTCTGGAACATTACTGATGCTTGCAAACATTTGTTCAACTGAACTTTTTAAAACTATATATTTCATAGTCACCTAGCTATTACAATAAAAACCTCTAGTGGATAATTTCTTTTCTTTCACTTTTCTTCCTTATTTTTGTCACTCATGTGTGTATTGGAAATGCCCTGCTAGTGTATAATTAACCACTCAATTCTCACATTATCATCAATGCTGTTGAAGGAAAAGACTCTTTTATCTTTCTCTTCTGTTCTCTTTAAGAAAAGCCCAGCTACCTTGCACCTTGTTTCCCTTTGGAAAGAAAGCTGCTAGGCAAGTCCCAGCTTTCTGGAGAGAGGGGCTCACTGGTGAATGACGAACACCCCTGGTGTATGCATACTCTGAAATTGTGCTCTGGACTTGGAGTGTGGGAGGCTTGAGGCCCAGTCCTCCCGGCCAAGGACACAGGGAAAACTTGGAGCTGTGGCAATGTGTCCTTTCTATTTTTGTCTCCTTCTGCTCCTTTTCTCATCTTTTTTCCCCCAGTGTAATAGAAATAGCAATGTTCCAACGCCCAAGGTTACAGAAGTAGGGAGTAGCCAGGGCTCCCCTCAGGCAGGCACAGAGGTCCTGGTCTCTGCATCTGGGTGTGTGGCGGGTACCTGAGCCACATTACAAATGAACCTCAGCCTGGATGGTCTGTCTTGACCCTCCGAGGCCCAGCTGTTCCTCAGGTCACTGTGGAAGAACCCTCAGGACATCCTGGCCCTCTCCAGGCAGAACCTTGGCAAGGGACCAGCTTGGGGCCCTCCCTGCCCTCTCAGAAAAACCAGCCTCTGCCCAGTCCAGCTGAGTGCGGAAGCTCAGAAACCAGTCCTCTGACGTAGGCCCTCCTCGGCCACACCAGGCGGGGCCTCCTGGGCTGGTCCTGCAGCTCCGGCTGCAGGTTCTCTCCTCCCTCCTCCCTCCTGCCTCTTCCCACGCCTCCCTCTCAGGGTTCCCAAGGACTTTGTCAGAGTGCCTCACGCCAGCATCACACCCACCCTGGCTCAGGGAGTATGAGATGATGCACATGCCACCCCGGGGTAGTTCCCCTGAGCTCCCGGGTTGACGGCAGGACGACGGCTTAGTGGCACTCACCTCCTTTCCCTGAGTGCTGGCCGGGGAGCTTTTCTTCCTTCCATCTTTCATCATCTTCCATCTATTAGGAAGTACAGTGGTGAAGCTCGTCTCAGACTGAAATTGCTAGATTCAAATCCTGGCTCTCCCACCTACTATGTCAAGTTACTTAACCCTTCAGGGCCTCGGTTTTCTCATCTGTGAAAGGGGGCTAATAATCATCCCTATCTCATAAAGCTGTCTGTCATGAGGATTGAATGAGGCAATGTATGGAAGCGTTCAGAAAAACGCCTGGCGCATCGTGAATGCTTACTAAATGTTACTTCTTGGCTATTATCTAGGTTTGCCAGTGTTCTCCGTGGTCATCAACATTCAGTCCCTACAACGGGCAGCACACAATACTAGGCACTACAGGGGACACATAAGAAATGAGAGCTGTGGTCAACATTCCCTGCTCCTGAGTCCCCTTGGAGAAAACCTGGAAGGACCTGCATAATAGATTCCTGTTGTGCGCCGTGGCCGCCTTTGCATGAATCCTTTGAATGTGCTCGTCTTGTGTTTGGGGAAAATCCCACATTAGAGATCCATGCTTCCCCAAGACAGAAGCCAGAAACTCGATTTCCCAGCCTTGGTGACAGTGGGGAATAGGCACATGACCCAGGCTCCGCCAATCAGATGCATTCACGGAAGACCTTGA